TTTGAGTTCCCTTTTCTTTGAGTCTCTCTTCCTCTTACACATTCCTCTCCCACACATATACCATATTCCAGGTGTGTGTGTGTGTATCTATATCTATATATATTCAAATGTCTAAAAAATATGCACATACACAATTGTCGTCTGCATGTCATACATTCTAATCTCGATAAGATTGTAAGGTCTTCAGTCCACTGAACTGCAGAAGGTGGGCCTATATCTCTCCAGTCTTGTAATGCAAGTCTTTTAGCAACAGTAAGGGCATGTTAACGGTTGGGTCGTTTCCAGGAGATATCCCATAGTTATCAGTGGAGGCACAGATCACAAATGTTGCCAGACTGGTGCTTCTTCAGTGACTAAGTATAAAGACAGCAGTCGTGAGAGTCTGACCCACCAATCAAGCAGTCACCAAGACTTGCAAAGAAAAAGCTTCCTGTGTATTATAATCTAAAGCACGACAACATCATTAATAAATCATAAGAAAATCCTTGTGCATAGGGACATCATCAACGTCGTCTCCGGATTATATAACAACGTTTCAAACTTGGATCTTCCTCAGGAGATATTAGAGTAGTACAAAAGCTCTCTGTATTCATGAAGTGCTTGACAACCAGTCATAAGGAATACTACAGTCAGATAGGACGCTGGTCTCAATAAATGTTCAGGCTCAAATATGCTGCTAAGCTTCTAAATGGATCCCGGGCATGTCTCTCCATGGAAGGCCATGTCAAGAGTGTGAGAGGACAAATCAAGACAGAGGAGGGGGTGGTGGTGAGAGGGCAGTTCCCAGGTTAAGACAAAGGTAAAGGTAAAGGTTTCCTTGCTCGAAAGCCGGTCGAGTCCGACTCTAGGGTTGTGGTGTTCATCTCCGAAGAGCCAGCGCTGTCCGAAGACGTTTCCGTGGTCATGTGGCCGGCGTGACTAAACACCAAGGCGCACGGAACGCTGTTCCCTTCCCACCGAAGTGGTACCTATTTATCTACTTGCAGTGTCTTGCTTTCGAACTGCTAGGTTGGCAGGAGCTGGAGCTAGAGACGGGAGCTCACTCCGTCATGCGGCGCACTCGGGTCTCGAACTGCTGAACTACCGACCTTCCACAGCCTGCAGTTCAGCGTCTTAAGCACTTGAGCCACCGCAGTAGATCAGTTGTAATCTTAGATCTCCAGACCTTGCATGGAGGCAACCTTTGAGGACCATGAAAGCACCTCTGTTGCTCTTAAACATATTGATCTTTAAGGTACCGCAAGACTCTTTGTTGTTGTTGTTGTTTCTTGGGGAGGGGGTGCAGTTACTGACCAGTTCCCCTGTCCCTCTGGGAATTGTGAGTGTGCATTTCTTAATTTAAACTTCAGCTAGAGCGCGATCGAAATGACCTGTTAACTTAATGACCAATTTGAATATTCATTTGCTTTAATAGACAATCATACCCTCTCTGAACTGTGGCATCTGTATCCAGACAACATGAAACTAGGGAGGTCGGGCACAGACTCTGTTAAAAAGCAAGGGAAATATCACATTATTTTGTTTTAATCTATTTTTTTTTACTGCCAGGATTGAAATGTGCATCATCTGCATATATTATCTTTTCAAACAAATAATGAAGGTTTACATGCTCAGCAAAACAGAAGTTTTATGGATGCATGATTAGTTGTGCATCTCCCTCCCTCCCTCCCTCCCACCCGCCCGGTGCATCCAGTATTTTTCCCCCCAAGAAGCCAAATGGCATCAAATGGATGGAATTATATTAATATGCAAGTTTTAATTTCACAGGCACTTCTTATGAGGAGTAATTCAATTTTCCACCATTTGCATATGTAAAATGCATTCAGTTGTAAATTATCTTTCACGCCCTCCCCCCTCGTTGAGGTTTATTTTCTAATCACGGGTTTTTAGCTGTTTTCCAAACATACAAATAACAATGCACACCATGCTTTATAACTGTGGGGATGGATACCGCAGATCTGTTCCTCTAGTGTAGGTGGCTTTGTTCAATGGAAGGAGGAGGAGGAGGAGGAGGAACATACAAATAACAATGCACACCATGCTTTATAACTGTGGGGATGGATACCGCAGATCTGTTCCTCTAGTGTAGGTGGCTTTGTTCAATGGAAGAAGAAGAAGAAGAAGAAGAAGAAGAAGAAGAAGAAGAAGAAGAAGAAGAAGAAGAAGAAGAAGAAGAAGAA